TGCCTCAGCCTCCCAAGTAGCTGGGATTACAGGCGCCCACCGCCACGCCTGGCTAATTTTTTGTATTTTTAGTAGAGATGGGGTTTCACAATGTTGGCCAGGCTGGTCTCGAACTCCTGAGATATGCCCGCCTAGGCCTCCCAGGTGCTGGGATTACAGGCGTGAGCCACCACGCCTGGCCAAAATTTCCACAAATTTAAATGTATTTGACTCATCCAGTGTTCCACATAGCTTTATTTTATACACCTTACCCCCACAGACATGCCTCATGATTAGTATTCAGAAATTATTTACTAAACACCTATTATGGCTATTATGTGGAAAGCTCACAGATAATAAGCACAACGGCAGATATCATGTCCCATTTATTTCCATATATCCCACTGTTTTGCATGTGGTAGGTCTGCGATAAGAATTTCATGAGGGCAGTTCTCTCTGCACTTCATGTTCCACCTAAACACCCAACAACTGATTGATGCTAATTTGAAAAATGAGGTGTATACATCTACTGGCATCTAGTAAAATTCAGAATGTCCCCCTGTCCTTTATTTTTTGGTCGCAGGCTGGAGTGCAGTGATGCGATCTCAGCTTACTGCAACCTCTGCCTCTGGGCTCAAGCCATCCTCCCACCTTGGCCTCCCAAGTAACTGGGACTACAGGTGTGCACCACCATGCCTGGCTAATTTTTGCTTTTTTTGTTTTTGGTAGAGATGGGGTTTCACCATGTTGACTCCTGGGCTCAAGCAATCCTCCTGCCTGTGACTCCCAAAGTGCTGGGGTTACAGGATTGAGCGCACCATACCCCGCCAGAGTGGCCCTAAGTTTCTCACTTAGATGAGAATTAGCAGGTGCCAGTGAACCGAACATATTGACAGTTATGAATAATATAATTAAAGCTGAAACATCACTTAATGTCAATGATTCAGTAACCCAATAAGCTGAAAAAAAACTGACAAATTATTCTAGCATGCAACAAAACATGCTTGGTTCTTTATATTACATTATGACAGAAATTTTGATTTCTCCAATAATCTATCAGCCTTTTTCTGGAGAATAAAAAAACTGCTGCAGAACAAATCTAAGCTGAGGATAAGATCCAAAGGTTGTATTCCAGATGCTCAGCTAATTTAATGAGCCAGGCGCAGTGGCTCATGCCACCCAGCACTTTGGGAGGCCAAGGAGGACGGATCAGTTGAGGTCAGGAGTTCAAGATCAGCCTGGCCAACAAGGTGAAAGAAACCCTGTCTCTACTAAACATATAAAAACTAGCCAGGCGTGGTAGCGCATGTCTATAATCCCAGCTACTTGGGAGGCTGAGGCAGGAGAATCGCTTGAACCAGGAGGCAGGGGTTGCAATGGGCCAAGATCGCGCCACTGCACTCCAGTCTGGGCTACAGAGTGAGACTCAGTCTCAAAAAAATAAAAATAAAAAATAATGTAATGAGAACCCTTGCCTGCTTCAAATTTTGTATTTCTGCCAGCATCGGAAAATAAAAGAGGTGAATACAGTTATCTCTAAGGTCAAATTGTGAAGTAATGTGAAATGTACTAAAACCAATCAGGGCTCCAGCAGACAGTGCTATAGGCTAGCACAGCATAGGTGGAAAGCACATGGACTTTTTGAATCCTGCAGACTGGCACTAGAATTTCTGCTTACTAGCTGTGTGGTTCTGGTAGCCACAGTGTGAATTAACTCACACTGAGAAGCACAACCATTATACACTGAAAATAATGCTAACCTATTGTGAGAATGAAAAGCTAACATTCACATTATTTTTTACATCAAAAAGCTGTTACAGTTTTAATAGTCTATCAACAAATACCTACCTTGCCAAAATTCTTCCAACAACTAACCACCGCAATCAGAAGAAAGTCTAAACTCTACATGGAAAACCCACAAGGTCCCACAGGATCTGGCTTCTGCCTACCTCTCTAACCTCATCTCCTCTCTTTCTTGCTAAGTTGTAGTCAGGCATTCCCTCTGCTTATTATTCCCTGTTTATTATGCAGCTCTGCATGGCCAGTTCAACACTCACATCCGGGTTCAGAGCCTCAGAAAGCGTCCTGAACATCCAAAATCCTTAACCTATACTAATCTGCATTCTCTACCCCAATACATTATTTCACATCCTTTTTCGTGTTCTGCAATTGTTCACTGTCAACTTCTTTCCCACTGGTCTCTGTAAACTCCCTGAAGGACAGGACTTTTGTCTTTTCAACCCTGAAGCTCCAGGACCTAGCCCCAGGACCAGGCTAGGGTGAGGCAAGGAAGCACAGGCCTCAGGTGCATTTACGGGGATGAAAAAAATTTCAGTCATCAAGAGTGACACTATTTTAATGTAACCTTTTTTTTAAATGGAAAAGGCAAAAAGCCCATAATGAACTAATTATCAAAATTTTAGGTAGACAGGATCCACCCAGCACTTGTATGATTCATCCTAATCCTGGCCGCGCCACACAGGACTCGTCACTAACGGTGCTGAACCCTGACTACAGCCAAGAACTCACTCCGAGGCTGCAGAAAGGCACCAGAGGGAAACAGCAAACGAGGATTCGCCTTTTTGGAGTTCACATCCCGTGGCTTCACTGGGCTGTAGCCATAAAGCTGAGTTCAGGGAATGCACTGTCCTACTTAAGTGCATATTCAAATTGTGAAAAGTTGAGCATCACTAATACTCCGGTACACTTTCATACTGATGTCCAAGCCAGCCATCACTAAAAACTCCCTTGGCCAGGGGGGTCCAGGGGGGACTTCTATCTATTCTTTTTTTGGGAGCAGGACTACTGTCTCCTACGCTTGGTCCTTGAAGGAAAGGAACAAAAACCCAGGAAAGCGTAAACCAAGTGTCTGAAGGGTGGTTGAAAACACAAATAAATGCGCTCGTAAGGAAGAAGTGCCTCGGTCCCACCCTCGGCCCCGCCGGAGGCCCTGGGAGACGCAGCCGCAGGTCTCCCACAGCTGATGTCAGCCAGGCACAGGTAGAGCCGCACAGCCCCTCTATGCGGCCCGCCCCTCATCCAGCCCCGGGAAAAAAAATCGCGGGGAACCCCGGTGCGCAAGCGCCGACCCGCCAACTCTGCAGCCACAACCCGCCAAGGCGCCTGCGCAGAGGCGTGGGTCAAGGGGAGGGGCGAGTTAGGAGGGAGAGCGGAGCGCGCGCGTAAATCCTAGAGAGGCGGGCTAAGCTGGGCTGGGGGGAGGGTCCATCTTCCGGAAAGTCTGGATTCCTGGACAAGCCGAGTTGCCGCTCACCGAACTGCTGTTCGAGAGATGATCGAAGAAAGTCGGCTACCATTTGTACCCATCGAAGATCTCCAGATGGAAGCCGGCGCTGAATTTGGGCTGAGATTAGGACTTGCAGGAGGCTGGTCGGGAAGACGGCGGAGGGAATCTTGGCGGGCGCACGCATGCGTGGTAGGCCCTCCACACGTGTGGCCGGGCCGCGGCCTCCCCGCGCTCGGAGGTCCCGCCCCCGGCCGTAGCATCTTTCCGGACGTGGGTAGCCGGTAAGCTGGAAGGGGGCTGGGCTTCGCGGCTCGGCCCCGCCTCGGCAGCGTCCAATTGGACGCGGAAGAGGGCGCCCCCACCCACCGCCCTCCTATTGGTGCGTGCATGCGAGCGACGCGCCTCATTGGACCGCGCGGATTTAGGCACCAAATTCAAAGATTTTAAAAGTACCAGCTGGCGCCTTTTAAGAGATACAGGTCTGTGAAGCAGGCAGGTTGCTCAGCTTCTCCCGGAGCAGTTCCTCTACCTGAGGCGGACTCCACGTCGGCTGGCATGAGCCGGCGCCCCTGCAGCTGCGCCCCACGGCCACCCCGCTGCTCCTGCAGCGCCAGCCCCAGCGCCGTGACAGCCGCCGGGCGGCCTCGACCCTCGGATAGTGAGTGAGGGGAGCGGGCGCGAGGGGGGCGCGCACGCCAGAGGGGTGCATGGGGAGGGCTGCAGCCTGAGGCCCTGACCCGACATCGCCCGGAGCCTGGACGCGCGGCCACGCCACACGCCCGGCCTCCGGCGGCGGCAGCGGTTCCTGGGTCCGGGAGGAGGGTGGCTGGGGATCTTGGGGAAGCCAGATGAGCCAGATGTGCAGGGGCCGGATGGCGGGCCGCGGGGTCCCGTCACCCACGCTGACCCTGGACTCCAACCCCAGGAGGTGCGGGTCGTGGCATCCCAGGGCGCCCTTTTTCCTTCTCGGAAGACCCACCAACCCCACCCTGCTTGAATAGGCGCCAAATGCCCCTCCCCTCCCCCACCCCGGGGCCCCCGGCGGTGACAGGGCTGCGAGCAGGCAGCCCCCAGGGCCTGGCCAGGTGCCTCACCTTCGTACCCCTGCGCCCCGTTTCTACATCTGCCCCGCACCCTCACAGCCAAAGGCAGTTTCCCCGATTTTTCGCGGTCCCAGCCTTACTGGCGGGCGCGGGAGATCGCGCTCGCGGTTATCTCCCGCCTCCTCCGCGTGTCCTGCGCCCTGGGGGGCAGCCTCACCGATCTCAGGAGTTCTAGGGTCTCCCTCCCCACTCCCGCCAAACGGAGAGACCCCCCACCTCATTGGACCAGACTCAACTGGGACATCCAAACGAAAACGTTACTTTTTCCCATTTTTTTCTCCCTTTGCCCATTAACCCAGTCTCAGGGCCTGGAGTGGAAAGGGAAGAGTTTTTAAAAAGCAGTTTTTACTACAAACCTTGAATTTGTCCATAGTATTAAGATGATTTTGTGAGAATCGAAGAATTGGTGACTTTTTCCCCATAACTCATGAAGAACTAGATAGTCCTTTATTTCAAAGCTTGTAGAGAATGGAAGGCCCTCAAATGCTTATTTTTACCCTCTTTGTTGGTACCTCTAAATAAAATCCATATGCCCTTATTTTTACCTGAGAAATAACCCAAAATGAAAAAAAATAGCAATTCGGCATTGTACTATTTTGTAATGACTCTTTTATTAGAAAAGAAGTCTAGAAGTCTCAGGAGAAAAAAAAATGCTTAATTTTAATTTTAATAGAAAGTATATTTCTAGAAGATCCTGGATCATCAATCTACCATTGAAATTTTGAAGCTTGATGGCTTTATGAGGGTTTTTTTTTTCTTTTTTGATAACTCCATTTGTCTTTACTACCTTGCTCCTCAGAAAGAATTTACTGCCTGTTGGAATTTTTTCCCCAGTTTACAGGTTTGAGGAGATAAAATTAAAAATACATATATGTTACCTCCAAATAGTTTTGAAAGTAGGCTTTTCTAAAATTTTCTCTTAAAGATTATGGTCACAAGCATTGGGCCTCTTAAACTCTTAAGGAATGGCCATGCCTAACGTTGACCACATGGTGGTTATCTGTAGGTATTAGAGACTGGAACTTAATTATTTTAGTTAACAGAAGAGTTACAAAGATTTTTAAGGACTGCAGCCTTATTTATGATATTTAATATGGAGGATCAGGTCTATATTGGAAAATTAAATGTAAAGTCAAACATTGTAAAATTTTCTTTTCTCTGTATGACTGGGCTGGAAGTCGGTAAATGAGAAGTTTAAACAATGCCATGTATGAGTTTTACTACTATCTGCACTTGGGGAAAAAGTAGGAATAGGACATTCCAAGTTCACAAAGCTAGTCAAAAGGTTAAGCCAGGATTTTCATTCAAACTTGGATCTGATTCTTAACTCTATACATTCTAATGGAAAAGTATGTGTTATTCTGAAATATATACTTCTTTGTGAAATGTGCTTTACTACTTTTAAATGTTAATGATTGGCAATGTAAGGAATATGAAGGGATTTGGCTTATGTGATTAAAAATAGATTGTATTGACTAGACCCTTGTGACAGGGACTTTGCCTTGCATTTAGTCCTGTTTTATTGTCTTACTCCCATTTTATGGATGAGGAAACTGAGGTTTTTAAGCGTTAATTTCATCAGTTTTCCATAACGTAGTAAATAGCACTATATCACCTTAGATACTCAAGCCTTAAACCCCAGGGTGTTTTTTTACTCTCCTTTTCTTCATATCCACATCTAGTAGATTAGCAGCAAGTTGACTTTACCCTCCTAAATAACAGACCTTGAATCTATGCAGTTATTTTCATTTCCGCTACAATCCTTCTAGTCTGAGTTTCCCACACTCTGTACTTCTGTGATAAACACTTCTAACTATATTCTCTCTGCTTCTACTTTTACCTTCCTGCAATTCATTCTCCACAACTGCCAGTGATCTTCCAAAAATGTAAACCAAACTTCTGTCCTCCACATAGGACCCAGCCTACCCCACAAATCTGCAGATCATTCTACCTCTTCAACTATAATTTTCAATAACCTCCCCCAACTCAGCCCTACAGATATTTCTCTTTATTGAGCACTCACATTTTTCCTTGTTTCCTATGTTTCCCACCATCTGGAACTCTTCCACTAGATTTCCATAAGGTGTTCAGATTTCAGAATGTCAACTTTGCTAAAAGATCATCCCTAATTAATATCTTTCTCTCCCCCTACCCTGTCACTGAGTGGATGTTGGATAAATAAGTGAAATGGTTCAACTGAACTCTTAGCCCTCATCTGTTTAATTCAAGAGGTTATGAAGCCATATAATATTTTCTGTCTTTCTGGATAATAAGTCAATTATATGAATACTTCACATATTTCCCAAATTTGGCCTGGTCATTGGAAAACACTTAGCTAGTTAAAAGGAATGGATTTAACCTTTTGCAAACAGTTGCTTCAGCTTCCTTTTTTATAAAACATCATGCTATGCTAATCTCTTTCTTCTGCAGTATTGTTATGGAAATGAAAAATACATTAATTTCACGTTTTAAAATTAAATCAACAACCAACATCCAGATTTCACTTTTGTTTAATACCTTTCTCCAAAAAAAAAAAAAAGGAAACCAGAGTTCCTTGGAGAAATGACTGATTCTAGGGCTGGAACAGGGAAATTAGAAGATGCGCTTAGAGCATCTTGTAGTCCCAGAAAGTAAGGGATGTTCAAAACACAAAATGATTTAAGTATGTGAAATGGATACCAATGTCAACTGAGAGAGCTCACAATAGCAAAAGCTGGAACAATTTGAGCAATACAAAGTCTGTGAGTTTATACTGATATAAATGATTGGTAGTATGAATAAATAGGAGATTAATGGACAAATCTGCTGTACAGAAGAATTCCAAATGATTTATAAATTTACTCCTTTAAGTGTGAGGTGTGCATAGTGACTTCCTTCCAAAAAGTCCCAAATGGAAAAAGAACAAAAAGGAGTAACTTTACATTTGGAACAAGCTCAGAAATACTACCTCAGCCAAGTCATCAAGGTTAACATCAGTTCAAATCATAGCACCTTACCTCTGTGGTCTAAAAACCCACAGCCCCAGACTAAGGCTGAGAAAAACTTGACAAATCCTAATTGTGGAACAGGCTACAAAATAACCAGTATTTCTCAGAATTGTCAAGGTAATTATCAACAAGGAAATTGTCATAGTCAAGAGGAGCCTGAGGAGATACGATGACTAAATGTAATGTATCCTGGATAAGACCCTGGAACAGTAAAAAGACTTTAGGTAGGAACCACAGCAGTCCACATAAAATAGGGATTTTGGTTAATAATGCAGCAATATTGGTTAATTTGTTGTGACATGCATTCATGTTAGTAATATAAGTTGAGCAATGGGGGTACAGGAATTCTGCACTATTCTTGCAGCTTTTCTGTAAATTCGGAATAAGTTTATTAAAATTCTTTTAAAATACCAAACTTTTTTTTTTTTTTCTTTTTTCTTTTAAGACAGGGTTTCCCTCTGTCTTCCAGGCTGGAATGCAGTGGTAGGATCACAACTCCCTGCAGCCTCAACCTCCCAGGCTCAAACAATTCTCCCGCTTCAACCTCCCTAATAGTTGGGACCACAGGTGCATGCCACCATGCCCAGCTAGTTTCTTTTTTAAATTTTTGTAGAGATGGGGTCTCTTTATGTTGCCTAGACTGGTCTGAACTCAAGCAATCTCCCAATCCCAGCCTCCCAAAGTGTTGGGATTCTAGGCATGAGCCACTGCACCTGACCTAAATACTAAATCTAATTCATGTGAAAATATATGTTGTTGCAAGAGGAATGTGGTAGTCATTTTAACTCCTTAAGTGCTAATTTCATGAGGAAGAATACAGATTCTAATGTTGGTATTAGCTAACAAAAAAATGTGGGAAACACATTTTTATATCATATGTCTTCATTGTGTCAGGCACTGCTATTTGCTTGGATTTTGTCATAAGCAGTAACAGTCATGTCTGGCCTTTAAGGAACTTAAAAGTACTTTTAAAAATTTCAATTTGGTAGTGCTTTAAAGTAGGGTTTGATGAGGTCTGAAAAGTTTCCTCAAAAAAAAAAAAAAAAAGAAGAAGCTCTCTATGAGTAATGGATTAGAAGCTAAATAGGCAAAGGAAGCGGAAAAGATATTCTAAGCAGGGAAAGGCATAATGTACAAAGCCCCTGGGATGGAAAGGTCATTGTTACTAAGGACTGAAAAAGGGCCAGCTCACATGAGAAAAAAAATGTACACATTTTTTTCTTTAGTACCTTAAGTGCGCTTGCACCATAAATTCTGGCTTTTCTGTCATTTTTATAAACAGTATAAACATTATTCGTAAGATCTGTTTTTCCAGAGCACCTCATTATAATGAGGAAGAGAAATCTGGCTCATTTAATTAACTACGTGTATTGGGCAAACTAAGCTACACTTCAGTGTGCTCAATTGTAAAAATAACAATTCCCCATCCTACCTCAAAAGGTATGTAAGCATTGGAAATTGCAAACTTCTAAACAAGTATAAAGTATTTGCATCATTATTAGCTCTAATTTTAAAGAACTGTCCATATTCAAGAACAGCGTTGAATGAAAGAGGTTCTATAGGACAACCTCCCAGTAACTGTTCTAAAGACAGCAGAAAGAGAATGACTTTGAATTCCTGAAGTATTTTCAGGCCTTTTTGGTTTAGGCAGCTAAACAAAGCAGAGCGTGCCTTCATAAGTGGCTTCTGCTTTTTTATCCTCTCATGTAAATTGTGGTCATGTATAAATCAAACCTAATTCTTTAGTTGATTTGAGGCAAAAATAGAATCTCTTGGCATTTTTTACTTTTCCTCTGAATGAAAGTAAACCACTCAGAATCATTTGTTCTAGATTTAGGGTTAATTAGGGAGCTAGAATTTGTATATTCTTTATTTTTTATGCAGCTCAACTCTTAATTTTATGTTTAGTGGGATCCTGGAGCACATACTATGTGTCTTTCACTGTATTAACATTGGAAATTTACAAGCAGTTTCTCTCTACAAGTTACTTTCTATGAAAGTATCCATTTGTACTTTGAGTTGAAAAGTTTTGCTCTACGTAAAAAATGGTTAAATTTAATGTGAACACATTACCAATATTTAGTGCAGACTAAGCATATTGATGCTATATACATTTACTTACAGGATAAATTGTTAGCTATATATGATTGGCTTGTGTAGGGATGGTAGATGGGGCACATTTTAACCTGGCATTTAATATTCAGGCTTTCTTAGCTCATGTCCGCATTGTTTCCCTATTCTAATTCTCTGCCTTCAACAATGCTAAACAGTTTCTGAACCCATCTACCATATTCCTTCCCAGCATTGTGCCATTGCTCAAATTGTGAATGCCCTTACCAGGCCACTGTTGCCTGACAATCCTAATCACTTTTTGGAGTTGTGGTTCTCAACTGAAGAATAGAGGAAATTTTGCAGCTGGCCTTTTCCCCTCCCCAATATTTGGCAATAACTGGTAACTGGAGACATTGCATATTGGGAGTGGGGGCTGTCCCTGGTGTCTAATGGGTAAAGGCTCCTTAACATCCTACAATGCACAGGATAACCCCTGAGAACAAAGAGGCATTCACTGCAAAATGTCTGTAGCACAGGGATGGTGAAACCTTTCTTTAAAGCTATCTTAAGATGCTGCCTGCTCCATTGTGTCTTAACTGATTTCTTAGGTCCCGAGTGTTGGAGCAGGGTGGTAATAAAACCCTGAACAAGTCTTTCCCTTTTTTCTATTTATCATTAATAGCAAGTTTATCTTAAGTTATTTAAAGCAATTGAACAGTAATTTACACCTGCTGCCCTACCACTCATTTTTAAATCTGGTTAATTGATTAGAGTGTCATTCTTTTCTTATTTACCAACTCTTACTTTTGATTGATAGCAGAACTATTCATTCTTACGGTGGAATGTCTTTGTTCAGTGATTAAAAGACAGCAGTTTCCAGCACATATTAGAGAAGATACAGGGAGATATCCCTGTACTTGAGTTTACTATCCAGTAAGGTAGACAAACGCTTTAAATATATTAGAAGGTCACCAAGAGCACCCATCAGAATAAAACTCGGAGATAAGAGCTGTGGGAATTCAGATAGACTTTAATTTATAGTTGTTTAAATGTGTTATTAGTTCTTTTCTCCACGCTACCTATAGATTTCTTGATTAGTTATTTTAAGGCTTGCAATCATTGCTAATGGTGAAATAATATACAAAATTTTTATTATTTTTATCAAGATCATTCCCACCCTTATACATTGTCCTCCTGTACTAATCTTAACCATTTTTGCTGTCAGTGGCTTGGGTTGTACTTAAGTCAAAGAGAACCATAATGTCATTTAAGTCCAAGGAATAAACACTGAATCTAAAAGTATTTGTGGTTACTTTTAAAGATAACTTTGACCATAGAGCCTACTCTTTTGATACATCACATTTCCTCATTTGTTCCATAAACACAGATGTTTATTATATAGCCCCTTTTTCCACTATTTTTTACTCAATCAGTTATAGATAACAGTCAGATGTTACAGCCATCCAAAAGCAGTCTGTTCTGAAATGCCTTCTCAAGAATAATATAATTTGTATATACTTACAAGATATAAGTAATATTTTCACATATTGTTGTCATATCAATAATTAAACTTGAATAACATCACAGCTGTATAAGCAAGTACATGTAGACAATACCTAACGCTGAGAGATTGCAAAGTAATCTTTGTATATCCCAATTGAAGAAGTAGAGATGTGTGGAAATTTTGCCATTAAGATGTAAATGTTATGTTCTTTTTATAGGTTGTAAAGAAGAAGAAAGTTCTACCCTTTCTGTCAAAATGAAGTGTGATTTTAATTGTAACCATGTTCATTCCGGACTTAAACTGGTAAAACCTGATGACATTGGAAGACTAGTTTCCTACACCCCTGCATATTTGGAAGGTTCCTGTAAAGACTGCATTAAAGACTATGAAAGGCTGTCATGTATTGGGTCACCGATTGTGAGCACTAGGATTGTAGAACTTGAAACTGAAAGCAAACCCTTGCATAACAAGGAAAATCAACATGTGCAACAAACACTTAATAGTACAAATGAAATAGAAGCACTAGAGACCAGTAGACTTTATGAAGACAGTGGCTATTCCTCATTTTCTCAACAAAGTAGCCTCAGTGAACATGAAGAAGGTAGCCTCCTGGAGGAAAATTTCAGTGACAGTCCACAGTCCTGCCTGCTACAAATACAAAGCCCAGACCAATATCCCAACAAAAACTTGCTGCCAGTTCTTCATTTTGAAAAAGTGGTTTGTTCAACATTAAAAAAGAATGCAAAGCGAAATCCTAAAGTAGATCGGGAGATGCTGAAGGAAATTATAGCCAGAGGAAATTTTAGACTGCAGAATATAATTGGCAGAAAAATGGGCCTAGAATGTGTAGATATTCTCAGCGAACTCTTTCGAAGGGGACTCAGACATCTCTTAGCAACTATTTTAGCACAACTCAGTGACATGGACTTAATCAAGTAAGTACTGTTTTGAATATACATGTTAGCATAATCCACTGAACATTGCTATTAGTGGCTCAGTACCACCAGCTCATGCAAAGACTGTTGTACAGGTTGAGTGTCCCTCATCTGAAATGCTTGGGACCAGAAGGATTTCAGATGTTTTTCGAATTTTGGAATATTTGTATTATACCCTACAGGTTAAACAGTTGAACATCCCTAATCCGAAATCCAGAAGTGCTCCAATGTGCATTTCCTTTGAGCATCATGTCAGCATTCAGAAATTTTCAGATTTTTGGATTAGAGATGCTCAACCTTTTGTAGGTAGCCTTACAATGTTGTTTAATTGTGATAATGACTTTTGCTGGTGTTTTGCTACCTATGTGCCACTAAGATGAAAGAAAACTTTAGAATTATGCATTTAACCTAGTCATTTCAAATTTTATATTCATGCTATTACAAAACTGTTTCTATTTGATTAGGATCTTTGTTCCTTTTAGTTTTGACATTTCTAATATGTAAGTTACATCTTTGGGGCTTAACTATAAAACAGCCTAGTTCCAGTCTACATGTCTAATAGGCATTATGACTTGTCACACCAGAAAGTATGAAGTAATTTTTGTTCTTTCTAAGCCATTTTTTGGTGATAGGGCTCTCCTCCTAGGTTTGATAGTCATGAAAATATGAAGATCCACAAATAGGGATTCGTGATTTTTTATTATTATTAATATTATGTATTTGTTTATTTATTTATTTTGAGACAGGGCTGCACTCCCATCACCCAGGCTGGAGTGCAATGGTGCAATCTTGGCTTACTGCAACCTCCGCCTCCCAGGCTCTGTTTTTGACGATTTCTTAGAAACCTTGTGCTAACCACCATTTCTTTCTCAATCTACCAAGGAAAATCACTTAGTCAGATAACTTTGAGAATTAAGGTGATTATGCAGACTAGAATTAGATAGGACTCAACTGGGGTTGGATTTGTTTTGTGTGTTTTTTTTTTTTTTTTTTTTTTTTGACTTTTTGACTTTTTGAAAAATTATCTGGAGGTACTCTTTGCAAATATGAGTTTATACTGGTCTTTATGAAACAAGAGCTAAAGCAAAACAGATATAAACAGCTTCTTGGTTTTTGTTTTTTGTTTTTTGACACGGAGTCTCGCCCTGTCACCAGGCTGGAGTGCAGTGGCGCGATCTCGGCTCACTGCAACCTCTGCCTCCCAGGCTCAAGCGATTCTCCTGCCTCAGCCTTCTGAGTAGCTGGCACTACAGGTACGTGCCACCATGCCCAGCTAATTTTTGTGTTTTTAGTAGACACGGGGTTTCACTGTGTTGGACAGGATGGTCTCTCGATCTCTTGACCTTGTGATCCGCCCGCTTTGGCCTCCCAAGGTGCTGGGATTACAGGCATGAGCCTAAACAGCTTGAGGGACAATCAAATCAGTATCACAGATTCTACTTCTTCTGTTAACATAGTGAGTTTCTAAAGTTGGTTTCTAATAGCAGTCTGCCTAGAGTACTTTGAAATTTGTCTATTACTTTTACCAGATAGCTAACATAGTATCATATATATATGTATATACACACACACACACACACACAATGGTGGCTACTATTTGATGTTTGCAGATATTGTGAAAAAATACTGTACGAAGCAGTGGTTGTTAAGCCTCAGTGCACTTAGAATTACTTGATGAGGAGAGAGCTTTTTAAAAATACAGAGCCCTGAGCTCTATTTTAGACCAGTTAAAACTGCCAGGCAATTGTAATGTTGTCAGGTTTAAGAAGCACTACTAATAATGTAAATACCTTTTTGCACTGCTAATGTTTTTCTACTGTATTCATCTTAGCTCTTTGTGGTGCTTTAATTATTTCATTTATGGTAATTTACTTTTCCAGTGTGTCTAAAGTGAGCACAACTTGGAAGAAGATCCTAGAAGATGATAAGGGGGCATTCCAGTTGTACAGTAAAGCAGTACAAAGAGTTACCGTAAGTGTTTGCAGATGATGTTTTTAGTTAAAAATGCACTGCTAGTGCTCTTCTAGAAATAGAGGGAAAAAAAAAACAGGTAATCTGGAAACCCTTCTTTACATTCATAAAGTATTTCAGCCTTATACTAGAACTTAGAAACCACATTCAAAAATAAATCTCAACTCAATCATTTATTTCTCAGATTCTTCCTAGAAATAGAATGTGTAAAGTAACAAAGGGAAAATTACTCAATTCTCAGAGTTGACCATTAGTCAATCTTAGTTGCCAGTTGTGTGTATGTGTATTTTATAACATTTGGAAAATTTGGAAAAGCTGTTTTACTTTTTACTTTTTAGCTGTTTTACTTTTAAGTACCATATAGACTCTGCATTTAAAGTGATTTCTCAGTTTTGGTTCACAGTTTCTGTCTATAAGTTAGGCTTGATATGTGTCTGTATTTAGGTATTGCTTTGTTTAAGTATGTGCAGGTAAATTGCATGTAGGGATAAGTCTCTTACATAATCTTGTCATTTCTTTTTTTTTTTTTTTTTTTTTTTTTTTTTTGTTTTGAGTCGAAGTCTCTGTTGCCCAGGCTGGAGTGCAGTGGCCGGATCTCAGCTCACTGGAAGCTCCGCCTCCCGGGTTTACGCCATTCTCCTGCCTCAGCCTCCCGAGTAGCTGGGACTACAGGCGCCTGCCACCACGCCCAGCTGATTTTTTTTATGTGTTTAGTAGAGACGGAGTTTCACCGTGTTAGCCAGGATGGTCTTGATCTCCTGACCTCGTGATCCGCCCGTCTCGGCCTCCCAAAGAGCTGGGATTACAGGCTTGAGCCACCGCACCCGGCCATCATTTCTTTTATGTACAAACATAAAAACGTCTCATTGTTGAGGATACAGGAAATAATTTCTAAGTTCTATTAAAACTTTTTTTTTTAATTAGGAAAACAACAATAAATTTTCACCACATGCATCAACCAGAGAATATGTTATGTTCAGAACCCCACTGGCTTCTGTTCAGAAATCAGCAGCCCAGACTTCTCTCAAAAAAGATGCCCAAACCAAGGTATCCAATCAAGGTGATCAGAAAGGTTCTACTTATAGTCGACACAGTGAATTCTCTGAGGTAATTTTTTGTCTAATCACAAATCTTAAAACCTAAGGGATTTAGAGTAAGAAATGTAAAAGAACTTTCAAGGTCAAAATGTAACTTGGCTCTAGATAATAACTAGTTTAATCTCTGACATTAAGAAACCTGATATTGGTGATCATTTAAATTTAACTGTAGTATAATTAGAACTATTAGGGATTTCATTAGTGTCCTCTTCATTTCACTCACAATAATGTAGAAAACAAAAGAAACATGAAATTAGGAAAGTACACAGAAATGTATTTCTATGAATATTAGGTACTACTTGGCATTGTTTATGAAAGTTCAGTGATTTTGGGTTCTAATTTAGAAACACTGAGGAAATAATGAAAAACCTAGATTTCTTATAAAAGTACTCAATACTACATTTTGCAGTTTCCGCCTTTAAGAAGTGAGGAAGAGAGTTAAGTGGAAAAAGGCAAGCTTTCTGAACTTGAAGGGCCTTCTATTATACCCTCAGATCAGTGAATGATGTGTGCTAAAAGTTCTACTCACATGTAGATAACTTTGCAAGCTTAATTTAGATAGCTTACCAAAATTATAGAATATTTTCTGATTCACGTTGATCAGTAAATGTAAATCCTACCTAACAAAACTAGTCTTACATTTTATGCCATGATGAGTGATGCAACATACAAATTTATTCAGAAAGTATTTATTGAGCATCTGCTATCAGGTACTACATAGACAAAACTTAGGGCAGTAGTTATCATATGTGTGACAGTGATATCTCATACATGTATTGGGGAAGGTGCAAGGGTGTCCTTGGTTTTACTAACTAAAGTACATGTAATCCTTGCTGAAATTTGTTTATAGTTTGTTTTTTTTTTTCTTTTTTAGGTTGCCAAGACTTTGAAAAAGAACGAAAGCCTCAAAGCCTGTATTCGCTGTAATTCACCTGCAAAATATGATTGCTATTTACAACGGGCAACCTGCAAACGAGAAGGCTGTGGATTTGATTATTGTACGAGGTGTCTCTGTAATTACCATACTACTAAAGACTGTTCAGATGGCAAGCTCCTCAAAGCCAGTTGTAAAATAGGTCCCCTGCCTGGTACAAAGAAAAGCAAAAAGAATTTACGAAGATTGTGATCTCTTATTAAATCAATTGTTACTGATCATGAATGTTAATTAGAAAATGTTAGGTTTTAACTTAAAAAAATATTGTATTGTGATTTTCAATTTTATGTTGAAATCAGTGTAGTATCCTGAGGTTTTTTTCCCCCCAGAGGATAAAGAGGATAGACAACCTCTTAAACTATTTTTACAATTTAATGAGAAAAAGTTTAAAATTCTCAATACAAATCAAACAATTTAAATATTTCAAGAAAAAAGGAAAAGTAGATAGTTATGTGATACTGAGGGTAAAAAAAAAAATTGATTCAATTTTATGGTAAAGGAAACCCATGCAATTTTACCCAGACAGTCTTAAATGTAAGTCTGGTTTTCCATCTGTTAGCATTTCAGACATTTTATACTCATCTTACTCAATTGATACCAATAGGAATATCAACTTCTGGAGTCGATTAAATGTTTTGTCACCTTTCTAAAGCTTTTTTTGTGTGTATATTTCCCAAGAAAGTATCCTTTGTAAAAACGTGCTTGTTTTCCTTATTTCTGAAATCTGTTTTAATATTTTTGTAGACATGTAAATATTTCTGTATTTTTTATATGTCAAAGAAAATGTCTTTTGTATGTACATACAAAAATAAATTTTGCTAAATAAAATTGTTAAAAGCTTAATGTATACCTTTTATAAACATTGTAATCCTGGAAACAACTGAATTAGGAAGCTGCAGTAGACTGCGTTTGTGTGAAGGCATTGAATGGATTTTTGTGATGGTTTTTCTGGGGAGCTTGTGAGATTTTTAGACAGTACCCTGATCCCGGTTTTTCCCCACTTAATAGCTTAATTCAGTAGTTGTGGGTTGGGTCTTGAGATAAATATCTCGAGATGATTCAACACAGGAAGAGCATAAAAGACACTGGTAAATACTGATGTAATTTATCACTAAACCAGCTGAACTTGGATTAAATAGCACCCCATACCCCCAAAAAAGCTAGAAGGCTTTAAATTGTATAGAATAAGACGCCGTCTTGGCTGCAGTCAAACACGTGCTAGTAACGAGCCCAGAACAAGGATGTCTTTATTCCTTAATTCCAAAGTTATGTTTCAGTTTCAGTTATGAATATGGGGAAATCCTAAGAGGTTGAATTCAGACTAGACCCTTCAAAGATTGAAGAGTGGGCCTTGGATGCTATCAATTAGGCCCCAAAGAAGTTTAAGGGCTTTGCCTTTGATCTCAACAAAAACCTAAGGTAGAGGGTCCCTCCTGTCAACTCCCAGGCAATCACTGATCTTTGTCACTGTAGACTTTTCAAGGATTTTCTATAAATGGAGTCAAAGTTTGCTTTCACTGAAGGCTATTTTGACATTCATCTGTGTGCATGCATCAGTAGTTAATGGGCTTTCCTTACGAGGCAGTATGCTGTTGGATATACCAGTTCATTCACCAGGTGATGGATGTTTCGCTCTTTACTCCATTTTCTGCTATTACAAGTAAGGTGCTGTCAGTGCAATCAAATTAGAACTCAAGATTAAGAAACTCACTCAGAACCACACATCTACATGCAAACTGAACAACTTGCACCAGAATGACTACTGGGTGAATAACAAAATTGAGGCAGAAATAAAGATGTTCCTTGAAACCAATGAGAACAAAGACAACGTACCAGGTTCTCTGGGACACATTTAAAGCAGTGTGTAGAGAGAAATTTATAGCACTAAATGCACACGAGAAGGCAGGAAAGATCTATAATTGACACCTAACATCACAACTAAAAGGACTAGAGGAGCAAGAGCAAACAAATTCAAAAGCTAGCAGAAAATAAGAACTAAGCAAAACTGAAGGAGATAGATGAAAAACCTTCAAAAAAATCAGTGAATCCAGGAGCTGATGTTTTGAGATCAACAAAATAGACCACTAGCCTGACTAATGAAGAAAAGAGAAGAATCAAATAGATGCAATAAAAAATGATAAAGAGGATATAACCACCAATCCCACAGAAATGCAAACTACCATCACAGAATACTATAAACGCCTCCACGCAAATAAACTAGAAAATCTATAAGAAATGGATAAATTCCTGGACATATATTCCCTCCCAAGACTAAAGCAGGAAGAAGTCAAATCCCTGAATAGACCAACAACAAGTTCTGAAATTGAGGCAGTAATTGATAGCCTACCAACCAAAAAAAGTCCAGGAAGGGATGGATTCACAGCCGAAATTCTACCAGAGGTACAAAGAGGAGCTGGTACCATTCCTTCTTGAACCATTCCAAACAATAGAAAAAGAGGGAATTCGCCCTAACTCATTTTATGAGGCCAGCATCATCCTGATACCAAAACCTGGCAGAGAGATAACAAAAAAAGAGAATTTCAGGCCAATATCCCTGATGAACATCGATGTGAAAATCCTCAATAAATTACTGGCAAACTGAATCCAGCAGCACATCAAAAAGCTTACCCATAATGATCAAGTCAGCTTCATCCCTGGGATGCAAGGCTGGTTCAACATACGCAAATCAATAAATGTAACCCATCACAAACAGAGCCAATGACAAAAACCACATGATTATCTCAATAGATACAGAAAAGGCCTTTGACTAAATTCAACAGCCCTTCATGCTAAAAACTCTCAATAAATTAGGTATTGATGGAACATATCTCAAAATAGTAAGAGCTATTTATGACAGTCCCACAGCCAATATCATACTGAATGGGCAAAAATTGGAAGCATTCCCTTTGAAAACAGGCACAAGACAAGGATGCCCTCTCTCACCACTGCTGTTCAACATAATGTTGGAAGTTCTGGCCAGGGCAATAAGGCAAGAAAATAAATAAAGGATATTCAATTAGGAAAAGAGGAAGTCAAATTGTCTCTGTTTGCAGATGACATGACGGTATATTTAGAAAACCCCATCATCTCAGCCCAAAATCTCCTTAAGCTGATAAGCAACTTCAGCAAAGTCTCAGGATACAAAATCAATGTGCAAAAATCACAAGCATTCCTATATACCAATAACAGAGAAACAGAGAGCCAAATCATGAGTGAACTCCCATTCACAATTATTACAAAGGGAATAAAATACCTAGGAATACAACTTACAAGGGATTGAAGGACCTTTTCAAGGAGAACTACAAACCACTGCTCAAGGAAATAAGAGAGGACACAAACAAATGGAAAAACATTCCATGCTCATGGATAGGAAGAATCAATATCGTGAAAATGGCCATGCTACCCAAAGTAATTTATAGATTCAATGCTATCCCCATCAGGCTACCATTGACTTTCTTACAGAATTGGAAATAACTACTTTAAATTTCATATGGAACCAAAAAGACCCCACATAGCCAAAACAATCCTAAGCAAAAAGAACAAAGCTGGAAGCATCACGCTAACTGACTTCAAACTATACTACAAGACTGCAGTAACCAAAACAGTATGGTACTGGTACCAAAACAGATATATAGACCAATGGAGCAGAACAGAGGCCTCAGAAATAACACCACACATCTACAACCATCTGATCATTGACAAACCTGACAAAAACAAGCAATGAGGAAAGAATTACCTATTTAATAAATGATGTTGGGAAAACTGGGTAGCCATATGTAGAAAGCTGAAACTGGATCCCTTCCTTACACCTTATACAAAAATTAACTCAAGATGGATTAACGACTTAAACGTAAGACCTAAAACCATAAAAACTCTGAAAGAAAACCTAGGCAATACCATTCAGGACATAGGCATGGGCAATTACTTCATGAACAAAACACCAAAAGCAATGGCAACAAAAGCCAAAATTGATAAATGGGATCTAGTTAAACTAAAGAGCTTCTACACGGCAAAAGAAACTATCATCAGAGTGAAGATGCAACCTACAGAATAGGGGAAAATTTTTGCAATCTATCCATTGGACAAAGGGCTAATATCCAGAATCTACAAAGAACTTAAACAAATTTACAAGAAAAAAACAATCCCATGAAAAAGTGGGTGAAGGATATGAACAGACACTTCTCAAAAGAAGACTTTTATGCAGCCAACAAACGTATGAAAAAAAGCTCATCATCACTGGTCATTAAAGAAATGCAAATCAAAACTACAAGGAGATACCATCTCATACCAGTTAGAACTGCAATCATTAAAAAGTCAGGAAACAACAGATGCTGGAGAGGATGTGGAGAAATAGGAAAGCTTTTACACTATTGGTGGGATGTAAATTAGTTTGACCATTGTGGAAGACAGTGTGGCGATTCCTCAAGGAACTAGAACCAGAAATACCATTTGACTCAACAATCCCATTACTAGGTATATACCCAGAGGATTATAAATCATTCTACTATAAAGACACATGCACATGTGTGTTTACTGTGGCACTATTCACAATAGCAAAGACTTGGAACCAACCCAAATGCCCATGAATGATAGACTGGATAAAGAAAATGTGGCACATATACACCATGGAATACTATGCAGCCATAAAAAAGGATGAGTTCGTTTTCTTCTCAGGGACATGGATGAAGCTGGAAACCATCATTCTCAGTAAACTAACACAAGAATGGAAAACAAAACACCACATGTTCTCACTCATAAATGGGAGTTGAACAATGAGAACACATGGACATGAGGGGAATGGAGTGGCATCACACACCAGAGCCTGTTGGGGCTGGGGGACTGGGGGAGGGATAGCATTAGGAGAAATACTTAATGTAGATGACAGGTTGATGCGGGCAGCAAACCACCATGGCACGCGTATAGCTATGTAACAAACCTGCACGTTCTGCCCATGCACTCCAGAAGTTAAAGAATATATTTTAAAAATAATAATAATAATAATAAAGTAAGATGCTGTAAACATTCATAACAAGTCTTTGTAAGTGGTTATATTTTCATGTCTCAGGTAAATAAGAGTAGAAAGGTTAAATGGTATGCTGCATGTATTTTCAGCTTTTTAAGAAAATAAAGTGTTTTCTAAAGTAGCTGTGCCATTGTATGTTCTCAAATCGTGTGTGGGAATTCCATTTATTTCATGTTCTTGTCAAAACTCGGTATTGTCAGTCTTTTTAATTTTAGTCATTCTAATGAGTGCGTAGTAGTATCCTGTTTTAATTTCCGTTTCTCTAATTATTAATGATGTTTAGCATCTTTCATGTTATTTGCCTCTGTACATTTTGGTGATGTGTTAAAATTATTTGCTTTTGCAACCTCATGAGAGAACTCGAAAAAAAGTTATTTCCCTTTTTTAATTGTGTTATTTCATTGTCGAGATTTGAGAGTATATATTCTGGATACAGGTGCCTTATCAGCGTATGCCTTGTCTTTCATTTGCCTTTTTATTATTTATTTATTTGTTTATTTATTTATTTATTTATTTATTTATGTATTTATTGAGACGGAGTCTCGCTCTGTCGCCCAGGCTGGAGTGCAGTGGCCAGATCTTGGCTCACTGCAAGCTCTGCCTCCCAGGTCCACGCCATTCTCCCGCCTCTGCCTCTAGAGTAGCTGGGACTACAGGCGCCCACCACCATGCCCGCCTAATTTTTTTTTTTTTTTTTAAGTAGAGATGGGGTTTCGCCATGTTAACCAGGACAGTCTCGATCTCCTGAGCTTGTGATCTGCCCGCCTCGGCCTCCTGAAGTGCTGGGATTATAGGCATGAGCCACCGCGCCTGG